TATATTATTACACAAATACTGTAACTTTCATTATTTTTGTTATCTTGTTTGTTATATCTGAGCCAATCAAATGTAAATCATAAATCAATTTATCTCCAGAACATTAACAATAGTCATTTCATTTCGAATTCAATTTCAAAAAAATAGTTTAGTTGCCTAATTTGCACAAAATTGAAAAAGTGCTCCCGTATAGTCTAAACGCATTTGCAAATAATTCTGCGCGAATTTTCACTTATACTGTGCTTAGCTTGGCGGCGTTTTCACATTTTTCAATAGTTTTCACAAAATTTGAAAAGTGCTCCCGTACATAAACAGTCTATACGCACTTGTGTAAACATTTGTACCAGAGTGGCGCTTAGACTGTGCTTAGTCTGGGTAATTTTTTGAATTTTTGATCCAAAATTACAAAAATATTTTATGGAAAGTAAAACAAGATGTAATAATTTTTTATCCTCAAAAGCAATTGTTTTGTCAATACAAGCAGAAAGTTTTTTATATCATTCAAATCGGACGCTTAGTTTACTCAAAAATTGCCATTTTCTGTTCATTTAGCTCTGTATCTCCGAAACGGCTGAACCTGCCTTTGCCAAAAACTAGTCACCTCTTCTCCCAATGATTACAAAGTGAATTCATTTTCGATTTTCGGCCCATTACTATAACTACCCTACGGGAAGTTAACTAGTGGGGTATGGCATCGTGCCTTAAGGCAAATTGCTCGAACTTCCCGCACTGTAATTATATATTCGAAGAATATTAAATGTTTTCAAAATAGATTATTATTAATACTGTAACTTATATATGTTTACAGAAAAGTAAATAAACAAAACTTAATCAATCGAATTTAAAATGAAGAACACTGTCTAATATTTATAAGAATTATATAAACTGAATTGCAAAGTTAAAATTATTTATTTATTTTAAGTATATTACAACTTGAGTCATAATTAAAATTAAAATCCGAGTTATTTTCGATATACAAAATAAAATCGAAAAAAAAATCTGAAACAATTTTTTTCCCAAAATTATAATTTCCCAAGATTAAAATCGGTTGATCCGTGTGTCTGAAAACCTGGGTAAAAACACGTGTGTGTGTTTTGTATGTCATCATTTTTTGTTCACGTTTTGGGGCGCACGGATCAACCGATTTGAATGCTTCAAGAAACATTCGATTCCTATTGATAGGGAGATGTGCTGATTAGTTTTTGGCAAAGGCAGGTCCAGCCGTTACGGAGAAGAGCAAAGAGTGCAGAAAATAGAAATCGAGTTTTTGAGAGAACGGAGTATCCGATTTGAATGATCTAAAAAACATTCAATTAGTAATGATTGGGAGAAGTGGTTATTAGTTTTTCGCAAAGGCAGGCCCAGCCATTTCGAAGATACGGAACTAAATGTACAAAAAATGGCAGTTTTTGAGAGAACTAAGCGTCCGATTCAATTGATTCAGAGAACTTTCTGCTTGTCTTAACAAATTAATTGATTTTGGAAAAAAAATTTTTGTTTCAACTTTTTTGTTCAAATTTTTTTTTCCAAAAAAAATTTTTTTGTATATCGAAAATAATTCAGATTTTATTTTTAATTCTAACATACTTTGAACAAATAATTTCAACTTTGCAATTCAGTTTATATAATTCTTATAAATATTAGACAATGTTACAATATTTATTTATAATAATCTATTTGAAAACATTCAGTATTCCTCGAACATTTTGTTACGGTATGGGAAGTTCCAGCAATTTGCCTTAAGGCACGATGCCATACACCACTAGTTTATAATAAATTTGGGCATAACTTCTCTAATTTGTTGCTATTGATTGGTATAACTAGTTTTTTGGTCGAGTTGTTCAAAAAATAGTTGGCTTTGATGAAAAAAATGGTTTAATTAATTTGTTGGTTGAGTAGTTGGATACTCTGGTAATAAAGATTTGAGATTCAAATTTGTATGTTGAACTTTCCCTATTTTTTCCGTTGTACAAAAATCCTTCTTACAACTTTCCATAAAATTTTGCTACCCTTCCTGAATGTTCTTATCTACCTATATCCGTCTTATTTGGTATTAAAATTACATGAGTTTTTGCATGCACCAGTGTTGGTTCTTTTAGAAATTCACCAAAAATTTTCTATTTTCAGATGAAGACGAATGCAAAGTCGTCCCAGACATTTGCGGAAACGGCGACTGTGTCAACACTTTAGGAAGTTTTCAATGTCGTTGTGAAGATGGATATTCGGTCAAACCTGAAGAAGGTCCCGAATGTGTCGATGAAGACGAATGTTTCCTCGGATCTTTCAATTGTCACGAAAACGCCGATTGTATAAACACACCGGTAAGGAAAAATAGATACTTAGTGGTTACTGACCTAGGGTTTGCCGGTTTTCAAAAACCGGCATCAAAAACCGATTTTTTGGCGAAAATTATGGAATTCGAAAACCGGTTTTTTAGTGAAAAAAGCCGGTTTTCACTGTATAAATGAAAAATGACAAATATAGCCAAATGTAAAAGATAGATGAAAGCGTTTTGATTCTTGAAATCATATCCTTTCAATAGCATTTGATATCTTATCAGTCTGCAATGGTTCCCAGAAAAGTTTTGCATATATTAATTTGGATTTTTATACCAGTGTATATATTAATTTAAATCAGTGTGACTTCTTCTTGAAGAAATAACTTCTTCTACTCTAACTTAAAAAAAGAGTTTTAAACCCTAGAAGCCACAAATTAAAGAACAAAAAACTTAGAATTATTATATCAGGCTTTAAAAACAATTAAGAGGGTATTCTAGTGTAGAAATTAAAAAAAAAATAGTTTTTTTTTATTTCATGTTTTTTAAGTTTAACTATCTAAGAATATGGGTACAAGAAGGTTTTTGAAAATTTGAATTATTTTCGGAGATATAGGCATTTTACTGACTCGGTCTCCATACTGGTTTATACAAAAACCGAAGCATATTTCAGAATTTTATATAGAAAATAAATTTTTGCTCGAATATTCTGTAATTTATCCGCAAATTTAGTGTAATTTTAGAGCAGTATTTGACTGAATTTATTTATTGTTTAATTTTATGGATAGTAAACTTACTTAATACTTATTAATTTTAAAAATTATTTTAATTTTAATAAGTAGAACTGAAAAATAATAGTCTTGATTAAATAACTTTGAAAATAATTATTTGCTATTCATGCATCATTTTCACATATAAGAATGAAAATATTTTTATGCTAGTGAAAGGAAAGTTTTCGAATAAATAAAAATAATACATTTTTAAACAAAAAAAATCATTAAATTAAATAAAAAATAAAAAATATTAGATACATGTTGATACATACTTGTTAATATCAATTTTAGTTTTAAAAACAATTAAGCTAAACTCGGGTATTGTCTGTTCCGAGCAATATTAATTAATTAATTTTAAACATTCTAATTGTTTTTTAGTTTAATAAAATATGATTTAAAAAAACTGAGAACGTCTATCGAATTGCTACTTAGACGTGTCCTTTGTTTACTCACAAAATTTCCTGAAATACAAAATACTCTCATACTTGCGACCAAATTATGCTTAATTGTTTTTAAAGCCTGACATAATAATACTAAGGTTTTTGTTCTTCAATTTGTGGCTTCTAGGGTTTAAAACTCTTTTTTTTTTAAGTTTGAGTAGAGAAAGTTACTTCTCCAAGAAGAGGTCAACTGATTTAAATTAATATACACTGGTATAAAAGTCTAAATTAATATATATATAAAATCTTTCTGGGAACCATTGCAGACTGATAAGATATCAAATGCTATTGAACCAAAATGATTTCAAGAATCAAAACGCTTTCATCTATCTTTTATATTTGGCTATATTTGTCATTTTCCATTTATACAGTGAAAACCAACTTCTTTCACTAAAAAACCGGTTACAGAATTCCATCATTTTCGCCAAAAAACGGTTTTTGAAAATCGACAAACCCTAAAAGAAGTGGTCAGGATTAGGGAATGCAATACCGATGGAAAATTCAAAATCGGTATTTCGGTAATTTTTCATTTTAAAACCGGAATACCGGTAAATTACCGGTATTTTTATTATTTTAAACAAACGTAAACAAAATTGAAAGTTACTAGTACAAATATAAAAAAATGTATATACAACTATAACTATCTTCAAATAAACAATAAAAACAATAAAATAAAACAATAAGTTTATTTTTTTAAGTAATAATTTAACAAAATTATATGTAATTTAATTAATTCATTATCACTATCGAGTATATTGAGTATAAGAGTAAGTGAGACTTTTCATCAAAAAGAAACTATGAGTAAGAAAGACCAAAAACTCATGAAAGATCATATTACATTATTATAATAAACTGTATTGTCTGTATCCGATGTGTTAAATTAGCAAAATCTCTAATATTTTAAAAAAATAATTCTTCTACACTAATTTAAGATCGGATACTTTGTCGAGATAAATAATAAGTTACTATAATTGTTGAGTATTGTTATTTAAAACAATGTGATGGTTCTATACTATTTTCAAACTTCGAAACGTTTTCGAAAAATAATATTTTATAATTGTAATAAGAAGCAAACATATTTAGTAATTATTATGTATAAAGTAAGAAAAAAATAAAGAATACGCAGGGGTAATCTGCATGATATAAAATATTTTAGCGCAAGTGTCACTTAAAAAACCGCTACATTTTTACATAAGATGAAAGAAATATTATTATCTAGCAGTCCAATTCTATTTATTGTAACACGATATGAAGCCCTTTGGAAAGCAATAAATATTCAGTTTAATGACGAGTTGAGATAATATTTGACATTTGTTCATCTTATAGAATCACTTGAAGATATAGCTGTTTATGCGATTATGGAATTTAGAGATAAATTTGTTCTGGGAAATTTAAACTTTAGTGTATTATGTATCAAATAGCGATTATGTAAAAATACCGAAAATACCGGTATACCGGTATTGCATTCCCTAGTCAGGATGACGTCTAACGTTTGGTTTGTTTTTATTCTAGGGTTCTTACCAGTGTCGTTGCCAGGAGGGTTTTACAGGAAACGGGATAACTTGTCGGGATATCAACGAATGTTTGAACAACAACGGCGGTTGTCATCAGAATGCCCAATGTATCAACAATGATGGATCTTTTAAATGCGTTTGTGATACTGGATTCAAAGGAGACGGGTAAATAGATAATTAAAGATTTGAGAGGCAGTTTTTTTGTATCATTTGTGTTTTTTTCAGAGTCTTCTGTACAGATATCGACGAATGCTCCAGCGATGAGACTTTGTGTGACAATGGCCAATGTTTGAATTACCCAGGAGCTTTTAGGTGTGAATGTGAGATGGGATTCATGCATCCTGATGAGACCAACGATAAGGCTTGTGTCGGTGAGAATTTACCCAAAAACAGAAAAATACACAAACACATTTTTTTACCTAAACTAGTGGTGTATGGCATCGCGCCTTAAGGCAAATTGCTGAAACTTCACGTAGGGTAATGAAATATTCGAGAAATTTTAAACGTTTTCAAATATATCATTACAAATACTGTAACTTTCATTATTTTTGCATTATCTTGTTATATCTGAGCAAATCAAATGTATATCATAAATCAATTCATCTCCAGAATTGAAAAAGTGCTCCTGTATAGTCACAGTCTAAACGCATTTGCAAATAATTCTATGCGACATTTTCAGTTATACTGTGCCTAGCTTGGCGGCATTTTCACATTTTTAAATAGTTTTCACAAAATTGGAAAAGTTCTCCAGTACATAAACAGTCTAAATGCACTTAACATAAACATTTGTATCAGAGTGGCGCTTAGACTGTGCTTAGCCCGGGTCATTTTTTGAATTTTTAATCCAAAATTACAACTAGTGGGGCGCATGGAATCGTACCTTAAGGCAATTTGCTGGAACTTCCCGTACCAAAAATTATTATTTTTTTAAAGACAATTAACATTTTTGAAAAAAAATTACTTCGAAAAAATTAGATTTTTGAGAAACTATAAATTTAACAAAAAATTTCTTTTTTTGAAAAAAAAAATTTTCTTTATTTTGACATATTTTGAAAATACTGAACTTTTTTTCAAAGCAATCGTACTGCTTTAACTGCATAGAAACAAAATATAAAGCGCGTAAGCGCCGCGTCGCTGTCTAACGGATAAACATTAGTACGGAACCCATAGGAATGTAAACAAAATTTATACTTATTGTTAAAATCTCTATAAAATATCTGATAACTTGATGTGCATATGTCTAATGATCATTTTTGACCGCCAAATGGCATTTTTTCTACTTTTTTCACTAGATCGCCGAAACCACTAGACCTGCCTTTATGAAAATTTGATCAATTCTTCATCTTGTCAATACAAATAAAAACTGTTTGATTTGATTTATTACAAATCGGACGTCCGTTCTTAAAACTGAGGTACCGTTTTCGGCACTTTTTGCCCCGTATCTTCGGAACGGCTAGACCTGCCTTCGTCAAAAACTAATCAGCCCGTCTCCTTATCAATACGAATCGAATGTTTTTTGAATTATTCAAATCGCTTCATCCGTGTTCCCGAAATCGTCGACGAAAATTTGTATCCGCACACACATACATACACGCACACACACACATACACACACACACACACACATACATCCATTTTTTCTAAGGTATGCCAAAATATTTAGAAACCTCTGAAACGTAAAGATATATAAAAAATTTTATTTTCGATTTTTTTGCGATTACTATAACTTACCCTATGGGAAGTTAAAAAGTTCAGAATTTCCAAAATATTTCAAAATAAATGATTTAATATGGTTCGAAATTCTATTAAAAGTTTCAAATCATTGATCAACTTTTATTGATTATTATTATTGATTATTTTTAATTTACTCGAATTTTGAATTGCGGTACGGGAAGTTCCGGCAATTTGCCTTAAGGCACAATGCCCTAATTGCCTTAAGACAGAATTCCACTTACAACTAGTTTCCTCTCCGTTTACTTACAAATCAAATATTTTACCCCAGATATCAACGAGTGCGAAGTCTTCGACAACCTGTGCATCTTCGGTAAATGCAAGAACGTGATCGGTATGTTCGAGTGCCAATGCAGGGATGGATACACAATCGATTCAACAGGAGGAAATTGCACGGATGTCGACGAATGCGAAAGCCCACAATCGTGTCTTTACGGCGATTGCTTCAACAGACAAGGCGGATACGAGTGCAGATGTCCGCCGGATCACGAATTGGTTTCGGAAGGAAACGCCTGTGTCGGTAAGAAAAATAATTTTGTTAAATGATCCATAGGATTCTGATGAAATATAAGGTAAACGTACCATATTACGGGATGTTAAGGAACGTTTGACTTTGAAGACGAATTTTAGAGAAAATAGGAAAGTGGACGAACTAAATCTGTTATATTTTATTAATTAGACCTTTAAGATTTTTATAAAACAATATTTTTTATCGTCATTTATAGAAATAATCGGCATTTTGCTGAACCACGCGTTTGTCCCTAATTCCGTGATGAAATTCCTCTCGTGAACATAATGCCGGGAGTCGTTGTATGTTATTCCGTGATAGCGCTCGAAGCATACATTTTTGATCGTATTCCCTTGATTAATAGTTGAATAGGTTATAAAAAGTACGGTTAATTATAAAATAATACTTTTGATGATTTTAACCCTTTATTTAGAGTTTTATAAAAGTCATAAA